AACCTCGAAGTAGGTCATTTTCTGCACTTGTACCCAAATTTGGATTTCGGGCTGTTTTTGAGCTGATGAAAATACCAAAGTGAATTTATTTTCAGACCTATCCTTCTACCATGTGTTTATTATAGTATTGGCTATCACATGGGTGATTTTGAGGGCTTCCTTTTTTGTTCATGTCGCATATGCCTATTTCTGTAAATGTTTAAAATATGGCCTACTTTAGTGACAAGTATACAACAACGACACAAGGCCGCAACCTCCACAAGCCCTTATTTGATACACAATACATATATGTACTCCTCTTAAAATATTGAATTAAAATGACATCCTACTTCGTCATTTCTAGACCTTCAAACATAGCAGTTTTTGCTAATTTCTGTATGTACGTCCAAAAGATGGCCTACTTTTAGGGAAAAGTACACACCAACGACACAAAAACTCAACCTCCACAAGTATTCATTTGATACACAATACATATATGTACTTCCCCGCAAAGATTGAATTCAAATAGCATCTAAGTTTGTAATTGTTCTTTCTAGAGCTTCAAACATATGTCAAACATATGTCAATTTCTGTACATGTTTAAAATATGGCCTACTTTTATGGACAAGTGCACACCAACGACACAAGAATTCAACCTCCACAAGTATTCATTTGATATACTATAAATATATGTACTTCCCCGCAAAGGTTGAATTCAAATAGCATCTAACTTTGTTATTTCTAGAGCTTCAAACAGAGCCGTATATATCAATTTCTGTACATGTCCAAAATATGGCCTACTTTGAGGGACAAGTGCACACCAACGACACAAGACCCCAACCTCCACAAGTATTCATTTGATATACAATACATATATGTACTTCCCTGCAAAGATTGAATTCAAATGACATTCTACTTTGTTATTTCTAGAGTTTCAAACATAGCCATATATGTAAATTTCTGTAAATGTCCAAAACATGGCCTACTTTGAGGGACAAGTGCACACCAACGACACAAGACCCCAACCTCCACAAGTATTCATTTAATAGACAAGACATAGTGTTACTTTGGGCAAAAGACTTTATCAGATTGCTTTCTTTCTTTTGTAGATATTGTATCCTGAACATGGCTGAAAATCATATTTTCCCTCAAATTGAAAATTTGACCTACTTCTAAGGCCAACCACGTGACAACCAAAGAAGTGCCCAAAGTTTGCAACCATGCATTTTATAGCACATATGTTAATGTATCTATGATTCAAATTTGAAGCAAAAAAAATCACCATCTTTTGACTTATAGCACTTTGAAGTTGGGAAAAAAAACGCTTTTTCATAAGCCTCAAACACTGTATTGTGTTAGGGTTGCCCATGTCCTTTAAACGAACTTCTTGAAAATTTCAAAGCTATTCTAGAATAGCGGATTAAGTGGTCTTTCATGCCCATACTTTGTTTTTCTATAATATTAAAGCACTTGCTCGTAATCGTGCCTTAAACTATGCCAAATTTCATGTTTTTCACATGTCTAAATCAGGGAAAATGGCCCCGAAACTTGTTTGGCCCGTTACCATGGCAACGATCGGTGCTGACCGGAAAGAAAGCTATTTTGAGGGGTTGTGGGCCAAGTACTATCACTGTGCAAAGTTTGAGCGAAATCGATTTTTTGACCCCTGCCACCATTGTTTGATCCTTACAGACATTCGCTCTTAAAGTGTATTACATCATAAAATACATTGATAATTGAATCTTACTCCGACATTGAGGTTGATGAATTCCTCATGTCTTCGACACAGAGCATACGCGTCGAACCCATGTTAAACGAACCAATGCCTGCTTACTTTGGAACCCAAACATACAAACCTAGCATAGATTAAACAAGAAGCCATGTTTATATAGTATTGGTAGCGACTTTACGTACTATCAAAAGATTTCTAAATGGTGAGTTTCAAGAAAAAATCTAAAAGTCACTTGTGCATGATTCTTTGGCGTATTTTAAAAAAATACCCTTTCTGTATATAAATTCACTACCAATACGAAATAATTAGAGGGTTATACAGTGATAAGTTCCGAGTGAGACCACATTTTAAATGACCTAGAAACACATAGCTCCAGTCATGTTAACTCTAAAACACTAATAGAACTACCAGAACGTCGGGAGTCTTTGTGTGCACGTACATGTACATACCTGTGATAGCTGTTGATTTTATTGCTTTACTTTTCCCAAACCGACTGACCGCCGTCAAGCTGATGACGTATTGAGTGACAGGGACAAGTCCCTGTACAGCATAGTTAGTGATGTCTCCGGGAAGTGTGACAGATCTAACAGATCGTCGCTTCCTGTAATGCTCTGTTTTGCTGTATGTCAATTCGTAACCCGTCAGCTTGGCTACCGGCGGGATCCAGGACAACAACAGGCTTTTGTACGTGATGTCCTCCACATACAACTGCCTTGGTGGGTCGGTATCTGCGGTTTTAATACAAACTTTGATAGAACAATTTGTGCAAGTTGAAAGATACATACTGTATTAATCATTCAAATCAGAACATGTAGTAACTTATTCAAGAGAGTTGCAATAACTTAATAAATCAGAACATGTAGTTACTTATTCAAGAGAGTTGCAATAACTTAATAAATATGTACTTACCTCCCTAGATCTGATTAAGCTACATCTTTTTACATCCCCCCCCCCCGAAAATTAGAAAAAAATCGCCTTCTTATTGGTTCCTAGTATCAAGCTACCTGCCTCGGAAAGTATAGATCATAGCATCTCTAGCACTGTATATACTAAAATTGAAGGTCTTCAGTAAGAAAAGCCCCCAGGAGGCCCAGGATTCTTCAATGTTTTTGTTCTAATATCTAACAAATAGCAATATACTACGTGAGTAACACTCACTAATGTACCCAAACAGTGAATTCATTTCCAGGATTGAAATAAGTCAATCACTGACTTGATAACGTTCAATGTTTTATAATTAGTATTGCTAATATCAGGAATTGAATCTCACATGTAACGACGAGTACTTCCGCTTGTGGTCCCTCGACGTACGGACTGATGCAGGTGACGGCCACCACGTACTCTGTTGCAGGGGTGAGAGGACTGAAGGTAGCCGTAGTCACTAACTCGGGCAGATACTGAGTAAGAATCGTAAGCATGGATTCTTTGTCCGTTAGCCACGCCCTGTAGCCAATCAGGACATCTCGAACGGGCTGCTCCCATTGGACAGTGGCTGACTTCTCACTAACGTGTTTAACACTGATGTTTGCAGGAGGTGGCATCCCTGTAATCATGATAACATGGTTGTAATATAACAAAAGGAAAGCCTGTACATGTTTTCATAATTGACTTTATAAAAGAAAAATGTAAAATGTATATGTAACAGGGGACATTGGAATCCAGGGGGATCCGGTGTCCTCCTAGGGGAGATTGGAATCCCTATCTCCCCTACGAGAATCTGGAATCCTCATAGGGGAGACTGGAATTCAAGTTTTTTCGGTACAAAACTGGGATCTGAATGTCTGAATTCAAATCTCTCCTAAAAGGATTCCAGATTCTCATAAGGGAGATAGGAATTCCAATTTGGCCTAGGACAAGTACTAGTGGGAATTCTTACAGGACAATCTCCAATTTTAAAAGGAGAAATTCTGATTGTATCAAAATTGTTGGGAAAATAGAATGAGTTATTTCACACGTAAAGTTTCAATCAATTTCAGCATAGGTAAGTGAATATGTAAATCAGACTCAGATATATGCATCAGGCCATTGTGAGATAGTGACTCAAAAACCAGTTTTTCCAGTTGGAAATAGATTTGGGTCTAAGTTAGGAAATTTTTCAATTAAGGAATTAGAACTGCAAATTATGCCAGGACAAATCTTGATTCCCATCTAGTAATTCACCTACAATAGTAATAGTCTTGCCTATGCTGAAGTTGATTGAAAGTTTCCAATCTCTCCTAGGAGGATTCCAGTCTACCCTAGATGAGGTTGGAATCCCTATCTCCCCTAGAAGGATTCCAGATTCTCCTAGGGGAGATAGGGATTCCAATCTCCTCTAGGAGGATTCCGGATCTCCCTGTATTCCAATCTCCCCTGTGACATATACATCAGATTTTGTGTGCCGGACACATTAGGTTGTCAGCAGGTGGGTTGGGGAGATTGATAGGCAGAATGGCAAGTCAAATGGTCGGACAAACGTAATGAGAGTATTTTGGGGAACGTAAACTTGAAAATGGGTTAAGAGCAGGAGGGTGTTTGGCAGGTACAATGGCAGGTCAAAACATCCGATACGGGGAATGTGACGCACTTGAAGGTTACAAATTAAGCATTTTCAAATGCTTCCTTAAAGTCTAACAGACACTACGTCAGCTTGCTGGGTCAAAGCACAGCAACAAGTATCATTAATAGCAAAGTTATTTTTATCACAACTATTTATTGTTCACTAGCCGACGTTTCGATGACCATCTGTCATCTTCATCAGGGCAATTCAACAGGGCTGGTTGCACAGTAAACCAGCCAGAATTGCACTGATGAAGATGACAGTTGGTCATCAAAACGTCGGCTAGTGAACAATAAATGGTTGTGATAAAAAGAACTTTGCTATTTAGTCGTTTACCAACCTGATGAAATTATTTACGGAACAAGTATCCTTGTTTGACAACATCATTTCTTTCAAGGATAGGTCAGACAAAGTGTAGGAAAAACGTGAATAGAATGTTACAATTTTAAGGGGGGGCATTAAAATACCCTTTAAAGCCTGTTCACACCTTTTCCCCACCTTAAATTGCTACCAAGATAACCCCTGACTATCTCCTGATAGGGAGATCAAAATTAATTGATTATTTTTAAAGATTCTTTGTTTTTTTTCAGAAATAATAAAGCTACTCACCGCTACAAGTGATTTGATCCACGTTAAGGGTAAATCCAGCTGCACAGGAGCAGTTGAAACTGCCGATGGTGTTGGTACAGAACTGCTCACAGCCTCCATTTCCTGCGACACACTCATCAACATCTAACAGGAAAAAGGAAATACTTATTATGTGACTATAGATGCATGTTTTAAAGGGCATATAAGCAATTGGACCGTTTTCCCACCAGAATGTTTTACCATGTTATGCATTGCTTCTGATCCAGGTCACGTTTGCACAAAGAACTTACAGCTCACTTGGTCCCACGCTTGCGGTTCCACTCGAGACGGATAAACTATAGTTCATGGGCCAGGCTTTTTTACATTCACGACGCAATCGTTACATACTTTTGCCAACGTTAAGAAAAAATGTTTTAACTATTATGGCATAGAAGATAAACATCTACATTTTTAGCTAGAATACCCCGATGTGCCACAAAATTACACGAAAATAAGCTGTCTTTATATGTACACTAAGATTCTTCACTCAAAATGGTCAGGGAAAAAGGATGTACTCACAAGTCTTTCTTTATTGTCATTCAAGAAACCGTATAAAGGTGTTATTCCCTGCGTTGCTAGGGATGTGTATTTTTCCCTAGCACAGGTTACCATGGATACACCAACCCACCTGTACATGTTGGTGCAGCTCCGGTCCAGGTCGCGTCAGTCTGGCAGGTAAGTGAAGAAGCGCCGACTAACCGGTATCCCGAGTCACAGGTGAATGTGATCACGTCTCCGAAGTAGTTGAAGCCCCGCATGGTTCCATTGGTAGGGGGACACAATGGTGGACACCGGTCAGCTATATCCAAACAAGAAACGGGAGATTTCCAGGATTACTAAAACATATGTATGTTCAAGGAAACGTAGAAATGCTGATGTCACATTTCCAAATCAAGGCCCGGCCAGGCTGTTTCTATTACTAAAAATCAACAAATAATATTAATGATATACGCCAAGTTTCAAATATTTTTCTCCCAATTTTTTTGGCTTAATAGTTTTTATATCATATTTTTCGTTCAGAAGATTGCCCGACCGGGCCGCGGGTTGAATATGTGACCTCATGATCAGCAGTAGGTATAACTAATGTTAATTGTAAACTGACACTTGATGCCTCGTAAAAGTACATGTCACAGCATGTAAATGGAATGCATCAAAGGCCTACCTAAGTATATTTGAACTTCACACAGGCTCAATACTCGAGAAGCTCCGGGAAGGCGGACGCCCACGTACCGTCCCATCATCCCCAGACATGAGACGGAAATAAACGGCTGGTTCAGTTCGATGCGATGATCACCTCCACACTTGGGGTTCGTGCTGACCTGGTCGGAATCCCCGATGTGGATGTTGAAGGGGTTGAGTCGGTCCTGACGACTGTCCTGGCGGTTAAATATGACCACCCTGTAAATATTAAAAACTAATAAATAGCAGATTAGAAACCAGTGTGCCCATCTCTCCATTTCCCTGTCATTTACTTTCTCTCATCATCATCATCTATCATCCCCCGTAGAGGTGGAGCATACAAAGTTAGATCGCCAAAACTGTTTGTCATTCATCACAGAGATAAGTTCCTGGCCCTCCAAGCCTGTTTCAGTTTTAATAAGTTTCTTCAGTGTTATGTTTGGACCTCCAACTCTTCTCTTTGTATCAGGGTTCCAGAGTAGAAGCCTACTGGCTGGTTCTTCACTGCGTACAACATGACCAACCAAGCTTAGTCGTCATAATTTAACTACTGTTCGGTATAACTGTTCATTAGTAGTATGTTTCCACCATGGTGTATTGAAAACCATTCGCAGCATCTTCGTGTATGTTCCGTTTAGTTTTCTAGAATGTGACATATTTATGACCCATGACTCTGACCCATACAAAAGAATTGTTTCAATACATGCCTTAAACACTTTGATCTTAGTTTGTTTTCTAATGGGTGCTTTCCAAATCTTATGTAATAAGTGAAGAGCACTCCATGCCTGTGCGATCCGCACATCCATGTCATGAACACTTTCTCTTACTTTTGGCTATTCTAAGAACGGGGTGTACCAGGGTCTTGCACTTGGGCAAATTTTCAAGTTTCACACTTTTCCACTTTCAGCACAGAAAAGTGTATTAAAAGTCATACCATGCATGATGCGTTTTTGATTGTTTGGCTTACAATCAGCGGTTTTTAAGTTGCGCTTTTTTCAGACCTTAACCTCTCTACAAGCATTGATTTGATGGGCAATACAAAGAGGTACGTCTGTTCAAAACTTAGCTTTAAAAGATTATATTGCATTGTTATTTGTAGAGAACCATCGTACCATCACAGGCAACCTGAAGGCTACCCCCCTGTCAGCCCTGTACATACTGGCGGGAATCTGCCCTCCTGGCATCCGAAGAGATGTCCAAGCAAGGACAGAGCGGGAAAAACAACAGAACGACCCAAGACACCCTCTACACGGGCACCAGGAGACACCCCGGCGACTGAGGTCCCGCCGGAGCTTCATGACTGTCCAAGGCCTCGGGGGGAAGACACCAGAGTCCCTCAGGGCCGATCTGTGGAAGAGAAATGACCCGAACAACAACAGGGCACTCCCACCCCCTAGCGAGTCCCTGCCTCCAGGGGCTGACATGCCTAGAAGGTCTTGGGTCGCCCTGAACCGGGCAAGGGCGAAGGTTGCAAGGACAGCTGACAACCTGCTACGGTGGGGAAAGTCAAACAGTGCAGTCTGCAGCTGTGGCGAGGACCCCCAAACCCTACAACACCTGATGAGAAACTGCAGACTCTCGCCGACCTGCACAGACTCAGACCTCCAGGAGGCCAGTGAAGCTGCTCGGATTTTGCTGAGAGAAATAGCGACAAGCTATGATGATGTAGAGAATAAAATAGCACAAAGTGTCAATTTCTGCGCATGTAAAAATATGGCCTACTTTAAGAGAAAGGTTCTCAGCCAAAAATGAACCAAATCTATTTCTAATCCCTGCCACCGTTGTTTGATACTTACAGGCATTCGCTCTTCAGTACCAAAATGATTTTTAATAACATGTAATACCATTTTTTCCCTAAATGATCATATAGTTTTTAGCAAACATTTAAAAAGAGCCTTGACTTATGGATTAGACCTAACATAATGGCTTATGTACAAAAATGCCTTTTTTTAAGTGCAAAAATATAATGTGAATTGAATTGTGATTTTGTGCATAAGATTTGACTTAGCATAATGTTTTCAACATCTATTTACCAAAAAGCTTCCGGAATATCCGAATAATACCTGTATTGGGCCTCAAAAAACCGTAGGTTATTTTGACGAATCGCACCGCTTTTGTTTCGTTCTGTGAACTTTTTTTGTAATTTTTAAGAATGTATAGCTTCATTATTAAATTTGACATGGTTATGTTTAAATAATTTCCCTTTAGTATATATAATATAATATAATAATTAATGCACCTCACACAAGATGCCCACCGACAGCCCTGCCCATGGCATTTTAGCCCAAGTCCATAGGCAACAATTTTTTTAAGTTTTTTAAAATTACTGATTCCACATGTTGAGGTCATTAAAATGAAGAAAACCCAAAGTAAACACATTGCATATGACTTGCAAGAAATAATAACCACAACAAAAGACTTACATGTGTAAAAAAATGCTGGGGTCACGTTTACTCAAGCTGGACCACGCATAAACGAATCAACATTGATCCGATCTTTGTTACAACGTATGAGAAGTTATAAGGCAAAATATACAAACTCTTAGAAACAGTTTTGTTTTTTGAAATATGTGCAGATGGCACATATTTATATACGCCCGAGGTTAGTGTCGACCCAATACGCTGGTTTGAGGGTTAGAATCATATGTTAAAAAACCAACAGAATACATTGAATATTTAGTTAGAATAGCTGGTACACCCTGATCTTGGGATAGCCATTTTTCTATTTTTTTTGTCACATTTGTAGCTCATAGTATCAGTTTTTTTTTAAGATTTACTGTTGCCAAATATTTGCAAAAGCAAAAAAAAAAAAATATTTTAAAAATTTATTCTACACTGTATCTCTTTCTGTGTGTGCGTGTGTGTCCGTGTGTGTGTATGCGACTGTGTGTGAACTTGATTAACTCTCAAGCACCCGAACTTTTTTTGTGACGTTAATGCCCGAACGGTGTCCAAAATAGACCCCATTTGGTTTCTTTCAAATTTATATTCCTTTTTGGATTTTTTCAGTGATCTTTGCATGTATATTGGTTAAACATGGTAAAAGGTATATTTTGGCATGATTAAGTGTTGAAAAATTCCAACACATCATCATAATTTATGCAAAAATAGGATGAGGCCTGCAGGCATGAACATGGGGTTGACCTTTGACCTCATATGAATGTCAAATTATCAAACCTTTAAAAACCCGATGAAATAATTCCCGATGTTGAGGTTACTTGGCAAACTACATAATATCAATTAAAAGCAATTTTGCTTCCTTAAAGACATATTGAGGACATCCGAACAATTTTGTGTGTAGGAAAGTGCAAATACATGGCTGGGGTCCGTTTGGACCCCAGACGGTCTTACATATGACTTCCGTTGTTATTTTTACAAATTTGTGCCGATCTCCAAACAAATTTAGGAAAACTTGTAGAAGAGGTTTATCGACAAAGTCACGGGAGGAATTTTTTTTCGAATAAAAAAAAAATTCAAATAGCACATAAGAATATACGCCTGGGGTCCAAATGGACCCCGTTCGGGTGTTTGAGGGTTAAGGCTTACATATGTCCATTGTAAGGCTTGATGCATATATAAATATTCTGCACACATACCTGCCAACAACATACGATTGACCGAGATCCACCCACCAACCTGGATCATTGTAGATCGTTCCTACCATAGTGTGTGTACAGGAACGATTCAGAAACGTGGTATTGGTGTTCCCGTCTACGGCAAGGCTGGCGGCCCCAAACCAGTAAGTGCTTGTTTGGTAGGCGGACTTCCTCAGTGCGACATTGACACCTGTCGGTTTAAGAGAAGTGCCATGAGCACTATTATATAGTTATATTGAGAAGAACAGACTCGGCGAATCGCAAGCAACGAGACTGGACGTACGGAAAGGAGAGCTCGAGCAAACCCCGATTCTAACGTCGTATACCAAGTACGTGCATGCATATGTGTGAACGCATTTCTGTAATTTTATGGATGTCATCCTCTAAAGACCCTAGATCTAGTGCTAGATCTAGATTTAAAGGCTCCGGCCTGCAAAATGCTGCTAAACCACATGAATACAGGGCTAGTATTGTGAATTTGCGATAGTACCTAGCGACTTTTACGACAGGCTAGGATTGCACAAGCTTAGCCTCCTTTGCAGACTTGTAGGGCGCGGCGTTGTTTTTTTTTTTGGCGAGCGACGCTAGTTATGCCGCGGAGGGACAATTTCGCTGCCCAGCAAGTCTGCTTCCAGTCGTTGACCAAAAAATGGCTATTAAAACATTTAGGAGCGATTGGCATGGATGTGTGAACTTCCCGCAATAAACGCCACCAGTGCGGGGAGGTGTTCACAACTTGCAACTTTCTAGCACGCCAACACTAAACAATACTATCCACTAAACAAAACCTCGTATTCATTGCTGCTATATAAAGATCAGTACCACAGAAACCCGCAAGCTAAAATGTGGTATTTTAGGGGTTCGTCGACAGATAAAAAGTGCCACCGTGTTGTTTGGTGGCGGATTGATCTCACTGGTCGACGGAGGGTAACGCAGCAAGTTGCGTAATGAAAAGTATGGCACATTTCCCAAGCAAAAATAGTACTTCAAAGTTTTTGTCTTGGATTGTTTGCATGGATGGATATATACACAGCAATGACTTCATTTTTGCATTACCAATGTTCACTTTTTTTTTTCCTTTTTTAGAACATTCCACTATAGCGCAAGCTGACAAAGGCGGGTGCGTGCCAGCCTTCTCCATGCGTATGTGTGAATTGCCCCTGCACGAACATGTTAATAGCCTCTTTGAAAGGTTAGCTTAATCCCAAGCCCCTTTAGGTCCCTTTTGGCGGCAAAATTGTCCCTCCGGCGCATATCTTGCGCACATGCTGGTATTTTGCGGCATTTATTAGTCGGCACTGAGCTTCGCCAGCCTGGGTGCCATCCCCCGTAGTTTCAGCCGGCTCCCTATAGTCGCTAGCTGCTGTAAATGCTTTTTTGTTCGCCAGGGATTTAACTTCGCGACTTTCGCTAAGAGCCCTGCTTCGTGAAGTCATGTCCCTCACGAACAGTTTACCATATCACTACACTCCTCCCATCTTCAATGTTTTCCACATACTAAATATATAGTACCCAAAGAAGGGTACGCAGCCAAGTAGAACTATCTCTCACTAACTCACTCACTCACTCACTCACTCACTCACTCACTCACCCACCACCCACCCAACCACTCACCCACTCACTCATTCACCCAATCACTCACTCAGTAACTCACTAACTCACCCACCCAAAC